ACTGCACTTTCATTATCAACGTCGACGTCCATTGTAAAATTTTGGGAATATATGTTGTAAATGTGTTTATGTGTATATAAAGTCCTTCAAGAAAGGACAATCACAAACAATAGTTTGTTTGACCATCTATTTTTGCATGACTTGATTTACACGTTGATATAAATAAATTTTGTTGATTATTCAATCATCATGATTGAATTCTTGGCAAATATCTATCATTTAGGAAACTTATAGCTTGCTGCTTTTACCTGGATTCTGAAATTCGGTTTTTTGAAACATTACCTATTTGATTATCAAAAAATGAGTCTGTAAGTTCTTTTTTTGTTTCTCGCTTGAGTACGTGAGCACTTGTGAGATAATATATGAAATTTGACATTTATATTCTTATTACTTAAAGCAAAGGTGTAATGAAAGCCGTGGCGCGTGTTCCACACCGAATACGTGGCGAAAGTAAGTGTAGATAACCATTTTTCTTTTAAAAGAGAGGAAAGACAGATATGAAGCTTTTTATTTATATAGCGCATAGTTAAAAAAAAATTGATTGTAGTAGCAGAAATAAGTGTATGTTATTCAACTTCTTGAATAAAAAATTAATTTTATATAATCATTAAAGATTTTTTCTCCGATAATTCATAAATACCAATATTCAATACCCCAATTAAATACACAAATTTTTTTCTTATTGTTAGAGAAAGCATAGTACCAATAACTCATAATCAATCACCATAATCGTATACCAAAACAAACATATACATTTATAATATAATCCATAATTAATTCTCATACAGCTACTCATGACACTGAATTTGATGATTTAAACGCACGATTTTCTGAACTTAGTAAAAAGACGGAGAGATTACATTCAGATGCGATAAAATTTCGAGATGCAGTTTCGGGTACAGTTTATTTGCTCATCTTATTTCTGCTGTAATTTTCAAGAAAATCTTGTTTTCCGACTAATCTCAATGATTGCTTAATAAAGGTATGCTCAACTACCAAGCTAACTTCGCCGAGATCCTTGAAGAAATTTATACACATAAACACATTTACAACATATATTCCCAAAATTTTACAATGGACGTCGACGTTGATAATGAAAGTGCAGT